CCCCAAAACCCCAAAACCCCATCAATGTTGAAGTTTGAAGATTATTAAAATTGATTTAAGTTTAATAAAGCTAACTGAGATAAAACAATGGAACAATTAAAAAAGGATGCCCCAACTTCCACTTAAGATCTCTCCCAATACTTCCAGAACTAGCAGTCACACAGGTCTGGGCTTCACTCTAAAAATAGACTAAGTAGTTAATTCAAAGCATAATATAATGCAGATTTGAATTACAATAAGGATATACAGCATGCTATTCCTATGTAATTTTAAAAACTCACTAGTCCTAAATTTACCGAATCTAAATTCGGGCCGAAAACATCACAAGGCAATTTTCCGCCATCAAGACCTTTAACATCAGATTAAAAGAAGTATCGAATAACTATGACTCAAGGCATTCACAACTTGAAGAATATGTAAGTACTTATCAAAAAGATCCCTTTTATCCTGAAAATCAATCCCTTATTATATTAAACAAAAATCTCCTAACTTTGATGTAAATTAGGCATATCTAACAAAACATGAAACTAGTTAAAAATCACTCAGTAAAAACACTAAGAGGGCATAATCAGGGCTTGAACTAAAAAAATTAGACAGAAGCAAGACTTTAGACTATAGAATACTTACCTCTTGAAGAAGTAAATCAGCATACAATCAATCATAATTCTCAAATGAAAAGCTACGTGAAGTAAAATAATCTAATGAAATTCAATCATCCTAAGATTGTGATGAGACCCTAGACTAGCAATAAGATACAGATATAGGCAGGATAGAGTCAATAAAGGCTAAATAAATATTTCACTTTAGAAGGCTAGTTGTTTTAAGACAATTCTCAGTCAGAGTAAGTTTGTGAGAAATATTTGATTGGATAATAATCTTACTTTAATACATAAAATATAATTTATTACCTATAGGTAAATCAACTAAGAAATCCAGCTTCTGGTAAGAGGATAATCTAATAGCACTTTGGAGACTTATTCTCCAAGAAGGATAAAAACATCATAAGTAAGAGAGAGAAAAGGCACTTAAGCTTTTATAACTGAAGAGGGAAACGAATTAGGAGACTGGACTTAAAGTCTGATTTTTAGTAATTAAACTATAAACGAGAGAGTTAATTTTCATTAAAATCCTTAGAAATCACCTGCTAAGAATATAATGTTCTCTAACTCTATTAAGGAATCCACTTAGTAAAATTAGAGAAGATAATTAGACTTGATAACTGGTAAAGTGCTAGATATCAAATCACCCAAGACAAGAGAAACTAGTCTCAGAGCATTCTTTTCCTATGGAAGACAACTCTAGCAAAAGATGCTAAAACAAGAACAAGCTTTTGATGATCCAAGAAAATAGCAGCAAATAAAATTTCTTCAACGATTTTAGTAGCATAGTGACTAATTGAAGAAAAAAAAGCTTGTTATCAAAGACCAGAAAATACTGATATAATAATAATAGTCATCATAATAATCCTCTCAGCAAATTCAATCCTTACCTTAGCAAGAATCTCCTTAGTAACAGCTTGCTATCTAAGAATAGGAGCAACTGAATTAGATTGATCCAGAATAGCAACTTATGCTTCAATAGATTTATAATATGGAATACTACAACAATGGATCGATGGTTCCACCAGACTATTCTTAAAAGTAATTTAAAAAATTTATGATAGCCTATTCTTTTAGAGCTTCTAGGCTGCCAGCTAGATTGAGGGAAAGAAAAAATTTTACATCAGAAATACAATATGACGACAAGTAAGAAAAATAATTATTGAAACTAAAATATCATTTAGACCTTCAATAGTTCTATTGAGAAGTTCCAAGGATTAGAAAAGTCTAAGTTAGTCTCCAGAACGACTGACTAAAGAAAGAGAGTAAATGCTATTCAAGTAGCTGCTTGAATATCAAAGATCACCAGCTAACATTTATCAAAGATAGGAAGTCATAGACTCTATCAATCAAGTTAAGCTCCAGCATCAACTCTTAAATAGCAGACACAAGACTATATATGATTACAAAAAATCGAACGTGGTCTAGAGTTCCAAGGTTGTGGCTCAATCACCACAAAATAACAATTGGTATCAATAAAAATAGTCTTAGTTGTTTCAATCTCAAAGTGGGTTTCATTCTAGATAATTAAGCGTCAAAAGAGGGTAAAATAGTCCTCGCAATTATAGTCTTAAGGGTAACAGTATCAGTCCGAATCTTTTTATAATGATTCAAGGAGATTCAAAAAATATTGCTGTTGGAAGTTACATTTCTAATTGATAATTTTTAAGTCAATAATAAAATAGATTTCTAGGAATTATCAATGAATCCTTCCTTGAGGGGTTTTGGGGTTTTGGGGTTTTGGGG